GTACTGCTCTCATGCAGTGTATCCACGGCCTCCCGAGTAAGGCGTTGTATCTCATGTCTCCTTCGATGACATGGAATTTGGCGTTTTGAGTTGTATCGGCCACGTTGACCGGGAGGGTGATTTCCCCTTTCGTTGTTTCGCTGCCATATCGAACCCGTTGAGGACTCGTGAGGCGGGTACTATTTGGTCGAGTAGTCCGAGCTACTCTACCACCCTCGACCTGATAATATTGGCCGAGCTACCTGGATCCACAAGTACACGTTTAATTTGAAATGTATTTACAAGGAAAGAGATTACAAGTGCGTCGTTGTGGGGCTGAGACAAGGTCTCCATGTCCTCGTCGCTAAATGTGAGTGCGTCCTCAGGTATGTAACCTCGAGTTTGCTTTTCTCCGGTGATGGATATTTTTATTCTTCTGATCATGGGTTCTTGTGGAGCATCGTTGCCTCCCAGGATCATATGGATGACATGTTGCAGCTCATTTATTTCGTTCTTCTCGATCGCCTCTCTTTCCCGGAACTGATTTTTGGCCCGGTCGCTGAGGAATTCTCGGAGGTGACCCTTGCTGAGTAGTCGGGCTACTTCTTCCCGAAGTTGCCGGCAATCTTCAGTCCTATGACCGTGCGTGTTGTGAAATTCACACACTAAGTTATGGTTCCTTTGCGAAGGGTCTGATTGTGCAGGCCTTGGCCACCTGGTGTCTCTGATTTTACTGATGGCGAACACGATGTCTGATACGTCGACATTGAAGTTGTATTCCGACAAGCGAGGTGCCTCCACCGGTCCTGTGTGCCTATCGAACCCAACTCTGCTGGCAAGTCCCCAAGGATTCTGGCCTCGGTCCATCCTTCGATCATTGCGGGGTATATTGCGCCTCAGGGCGTTTCTTCTATCTTTAGTGTATGGTTGGTACTTTTCCTTGTTTGGCTTTGGCTCTTTTGCCGGAAGCCTGCTGGGATATACTGAGCCCGATGGGGCCCCTAGTTGGTCATCTTCGACCCTGATCTTTGATTGTTATCGGTTGTGGACGTCCGACCAAGTCACTGCGGGATATTCAACTAAGTTCTGCTTCAGCTACTCGAAGCTACCGAGCTTCGCTCGTTCAAACCTTGAGTGAAGGCTTGCACCGCCCAGTCATCGGTGATCGGTGGTAGTTCCATTCATTCCATTTGAAAGCGAGATACGAACTCTCACAGCATCTCGTTCTCCCTTTGCTTGATTTTGAAAACGTCGGATTTCCTGGTAGCTACTTTGATGGCACCAGCATGTGCCTTTATGAAAGAATCTGCCATCATGGCAAATGAATCTATTGAGTTTGGGGCTAGGTTGTGATACCACATCATCGCCCCTTTTGGAAGCGTCTCTCCGAACTTTTTCAGTAGGACAGACTCGATCTCATCGTCCCTCAGGTCGTTGCCTTTCACCGCGCAAGTGTAAGCAGTGACTTGCTCGTTGGGGTCCGAGGTTCCGTTGTACTTCGGAAGGTCGGGCATTCTGAACTTCTTTGGCATGGGTTTTGGAGCAGCTTCCTGCGGGAAGGGTTTTTGTATGAACTTTTTCGAGTCTACACCCTTTAGGATCGGGGGTGCGAGTCAAGCTGTCGTACTTAGACATTGTGTTATTTGAGTTGCTTACCTAATGGACATGCGGAGTCCATAGAGAAGCTTGTAAAGTTTGTCCTAAAAGCAATAATTGATAGCAATACCTATGTGTGGTAGGCTACCATTCGTACAATTGGCCAATTCTACAAGTTTTGGATCCTGCAGTTGTAAGAGGTGTTTCATGAGGAGCTCTTCTCTCTTTTGGTAAAATTCTAGGATGTTATACTGCTCCTTAGTTGCAATTTCAATTAAGATTTCTTGGAACGACACTTGAGCTAGATACCAAAGAAATTAATTGAGTTCCTAAATGAGTGTCATTATTATGATGAAGGAAGCTGCTTTGCTTACTTTTGCCTCGTTACGTGTAATTGAATCTATATTTGTGATACTACTACGAATCTCATTGTCCTTCTCGACTCCTGATAGTGCATGACTACTTTGGATGGTTGAATACTACTACCCAATAATTATGCAGACCAAGCGACTCAAATTTTCTCATAGCCAAGCATTTATCTGAATGCAGGAGTTCAAGCAAGGAATGTTTTGTTAGCAAGAAATGTGTTGGGCTCATGCCCATGTTGTCCAGTCAAAGGCCCAATGGCCTAATCCTATTCTCTTTTGGTTTCCATTCCTATTTGGAATTGGATTCGGTTTATTCCTGTTTTGAGTGGGTTTTGGCAGCGTCTCCTTGACGGTCTCGGCGTCTCCCAAATTTACTGCTTCGATCTTGTCTAGATTGGACTTAGGCTTATTCTCAAAATTTTCAACCTCCCTGACAATTTCCTCAGGTATCTCATCCTCTTCCTCTAAATCACTATTCTCATGTTGCGTTGCCTCATTACATGTCACAGTTACTGGTTCATCAGGAAAAGTAATAATAATGTTGTAGAAAAGAAAAATGTAAAGATAATAGTGAACAATAAAGAAGCAAATTCATTTGATTAAAACTTGAAAAATTATCCAGACAAAGTACGGCTCGATGAGTCGAGCGTTCAATTTGAAACAAGTAAATCTTAAAACAAAATTACGGGAAATCCTAAATGCCTAGAACAGCTTATAGAATCAAAGCCAAAGTTCTCAGGAGGGTTTAGTACGCAACCTGGTTAGCCAATATCGTGCCAGTTCCGAAGAAGGATGGGAAGGTAAGAGCATGTGTCGACTACCGGGATCTAAACAGAGCAAGTCCCAAGGACGACTTTCCATTGCCAAATATACACATCCTGATCGATAATTGCGCCAAGCATGAAATCCAATCCATTGTAGATTGCTTCGCATTGTATTTCAAGTGTTTCTAAGTTCAGCAGAGTTTATGACTTTGCACTACCTAGTCTTGGGGGATTTGTTGTGATTCGTCGTGTAGGCTTATATGACTTTTATTTCGTATTAATGTTTTATCCGGTTTAACTGGTTTAGCTATTATAAGTGATCGGCTTATCTAGTTTTAGAGCAGTTTAGCTGTTATAAGTGATCGACTTACCTAGTTTTAGAGACAAGGTGTCATCACGATCTTTAATGGGGGATTTTGGGTCGTGACACTTAGGCCAAATGACATCGCCAAGATCGATTTTGAAGATAGCGTCAGTTGGCATTCTCAATTGATAGTAACCTGCTCTATGATCCACCTTAGAAAATATCTTGGTTCATCCAAAATCATTTAATAAGTCCTCAATAAGTGGTCTGTAAAACTTATGCTTCGTGGAGCATTTGTTTGACTCCTTGTGGTAACATACGAACATCATGGACCAACTTTCTTTCCAGCCAAAATGAACATGTGATGTTTTTTCACTTGGTAGAAAATATATAAGCCTCCTTTCCACTGGTATAGAGTCACTGACCAAGGGTATTCTGTCATCATTGCTACCCCTGTGAGGTGGAAACTATTTAGGCTGCTTAGTGAGTTCCTTTACATCCACTTAAGTATATTCTGGCGGTCTTTTAGCTATTTCAACACTGGTTCGAGGATTCAAATGGCTCTAATACCAGTTAGTACCAATGAACCAATGCCCATCAGTTCAGGAATTATGAGTTTGAATGCTGAAAGTTGGGTCCAAGAAACTAAATCTAATATAAGTTATCACCAACACAAGGCTACTTCTACTACTTAATACTCTATGTACCGCATGAGTAATAAACTAATCTCCTAACTAATTTCAGTAAATTTGCATATAACTGCCTCCCATGTGGCAAAATGTGATCATGCACAAACTATTAACCACCTCTCTGAGTTGCTTCTATTCTGTTAAGCCAGTGCTAAGCTTGTCGCGCATTTGCTGGGCCTCCATAGGAGACAAATGTTTGAATACCTCAGGTGACTATGGCATAAGGTTCACTTTTTCATATGAACTATGGCTTCTAGACTGCAAAACGCTGGTGATGTTTGATATATATTGTTCTAAATGACTGGAAGTACTAACTTTCTCACTTTACGGAAAGATGTTGTGATTCACATTTTCACTTTTTTTTTTGTTGGTAATTTGTGTTTCTTTCATAAGGATTTTTTAATTTTAGTTTATTTATCAAATTTCGATGATGTTTATGTTTTTCCTTATTTTATTTATAATAAAAGACTGTGAGTATCCTAATAGAAAGTGATGTGATCTGAGCGGGGTGGTGAGATTATTTGAACAAATTCTTATATAACTAAATTGATTAAAAAAAAGAAAGAAATCTTGTCCATAATGACCAGAAGTATAATTTTTATTTACATATGTGCTAAATTTGTATATGCTGAAATGATGAGTTCTAACTATGCCTTTATTTAATTTTTTAGATGTGGGCATGATTAGAGTTGTTGAATTCTGTTGTGTTGTTAATTCTGTGCAAGTGCGCCATCAAAAGGAGAGCTCTCATTCTGCACTAATGACTTGTGAAAGGTTATGTTTGTCTTGCAAAGCTTCGAGCACATCACATGAAAACATTGAGCCCAAAATCTTCCCACCCAATTTTTATTTAAATTAAGCCACTAAGAATTGTACCTAGGGTTGGTTTTCATATAAATAACAAAAAATTACAACAATGGAGGGGGAATGGACCTGACCTCCAGAAATGTGATGTTAGAGCATTTAGTTGTCCAAACATGCCAACTAAATGAGCCCTGGATGTTGTGATGATTAAGACCTATAGTGATGTACCAATTATCTATCCAATGGTGGTAGAAAACTGGATGTACAAAATCAGAGTGATGTAAACCTAGGTCAACTATACAGAAATACACAAGTGATCCTAACTCTACTGAAGTAGTGAGATGGAAGATCATCTTCCCTATGTTACAAATCCTACACCTAGCAAAAATGTAGAAAGGCCAGTGAAGGGGTGACAAAAAACATGTAATAGTGGAATGGGCTATCTTCAATCCTGCTTTGGCATTGGAGACAAAGAAAGCAAGATTGAAGATAAATTTCAAAAGGATCCAATAAACTGGACTGGAGAGCTGCTGCTTGTTATTGTTGACAGAAGGGAGTGAACACTATCTTTCTTCAAATGTCCACCAAGGCTTATGCTGGCAACTAGCTGCTGAATGCTAGGTAAGAGGTTGTCATGGGTAGACTCTTGTTGTTGAGAGCTGCTGACTGAAAAATGCATGATAACTAAAGCTGGTGACTGAAAAGTGGAATTGGTGGCAAGTTTCTGTAAATGGACCTGCTACATAGAGACAGGATAATGAGAAGTCTCATGTTGGTGTTTTCTTTGTGGAAGCATAGGGCGGCAAAGTTTGACAGTTTGTTGTGATTGTTGCTGCTTCAAGCGATCAATAGAAATGGGGATCTCCTGGAAGTGTTTGCTTTGGAGCTGCTGTTGACATAATGATGAAGGTAAGCAATTGTGGGTGTGTGGAGATGAGTTGGGAGTTGGATTGGCAGACTTGGTAGAATTGATGCACTTTCAGCAAAACGAGCAACTGAGATGCTGATACCACTAACTGAAAGTGCAGCAATTGACCAAGCTAGTTCCATGTACCTGCAAAAAATAGCAAACATGTTAGTGAAAGAAGCCCTTGTTTCCAGGTTCTTATGGGGTCTGGAAAGAGGGATTGTATCTTTGCTTTTGAGTGAGAAACTGTTTGCAGGTTCTTGTTTTGGCTGTATACAGTTTGACGGATGTTTCTGTGGTTGAGAAGGTGAAAAATAGGTGGGAAGGTACAAGTGTAGATATAAGGAGTCTTATGAAGGACTGAAGTTGGATCTGTTGCTTTATGGCATTGGTGGTGTGCTTCAGCCAGTTGATATATTTCCATAGGAATGAACATCATGGTTGCTGCTACCACACTCTGAAGATATATCAACTTGTTGAGCTTGAGGAAGAGGATGGAAACTGCAGAAGAGAGAGCAGTATTAGGTAGAAATTGATCATTTCTGCCCAGAATTCTGGATTTGATGCTTTCTGCAATCAGGTTCTTGTGTAAACTGATGCAGCATGGATGAGGGTAGGTGATTCTTGAATGATGTCTATAGATGTTTGGTTGGTTATGTGAGTGTTTCTGTGGGTTGGGGGAAAGAAATAGGGTGTTATTGTGTTCTTGTATGGATAATGAAAAGGGCATGTATCTGTGGGATCCAATTCTATGTCTTTTAGGGTGAACCTCCTTCTCTCTATAACCTATATCCTTCCTTTGTTGGGATTCTAGGAGAATGAGCACAACCACACCCTGAAATAACAATAAAAAGTTGGATAGGTCATAGGATAGTGAAACATGCAAAAGAGCAAACACAATTAGTGAAAAACTCATAACTGTACAGTTCCACATAAAGGAGGAACTGTTGTTATTGGTGCTGGCATAGTCAGTGGTAATTTGGAATATTAAGACTGCCCCACTATGTTGATCATGGTCGACCGTAAGCATTAGAATTTTCAAGAGGCATCCGTGATAGCAATACCAAATCTGCTTCAGGTGTAGTAGCCTGTTCTGATGGAAACCTGATTTTCCTTGTCTTCTTATGCCTGAATGTTGGGGTACCTAGAGAGTCCTGCAGGATCTGGCCTCTTATTTAATTTGGCAATGAGGAGAGTGAGGTATAATTGGTAAGAGTTGAAAATTGATGGCAGAGCTTTGACAGAGAGTCAGCAGGACAGTTGGCTTCTCTATATGTGTGTGAGCATGTGAACTCCTCACATTGATGATAGTGGTTTGAGAGCTGTTGAAGTTTCATCTTCATGGTCCATGGAAACCCTTTGCCATTGTTTAACCATTGAACTAAAGTAGAATCTGATTCCAGGTGAATCTGAGAGTATCCATTACTCAAACACCATAGGATACCTAAGAAAGCTGCTTCAATTTCTGCAAGGTTATTGGTACTTTCCCCTAATGGTGAAGCAATGGCGTGTATGAAGATATAATTATGATCCCTAATAATCACCCCTGCGCTAATCTTTCTTAGGTTTATGAGTGCACTCCCATCACCGTTGATCTTTAAAAGGCCATGGCTTGGTTTCTTCAAAACTACCTGGGTGGATATGGTTTGGTGATGGAGGTTCTCAATGAAAGAGTATAAATCATGCCATCTGATGGGCCATTTGATTTCTAGATAGTTGGCTCGAAGCAAGAGGTTGATGTCACAGTTAATGAAAAATAAAACTCTGGTCAAGGAGGATGGTTTGGCTCCATATTCGGCATTGCACATATTCTTCCATAGATTCCAACATATTATGATAGGCAAGGTATTTAAGATGAGTCTTTGTACTTCATTGTGACTGCTAAGAAGCCACCACTTCATCAAAAGTATTTTGAGAGGCATGTCCTCAGCTTGAATTCCAACTGGCCCTCCAAATTCCCTCCACACAATTCTGGCAAAGTTACCCACGCTAAAAAGGTGGTCAACTGTTTCACTGGAGTGAACAGAGCAACAAACACACCTAGAAATAGTAGGATTGCTAAAAACTAGCACCCTGTCATTAGTTGGGAGTTTATTTTTGAGAGTTCTCCACAAGCAAAAGGGCCATTTGAATGGAATTTTTTTATGCCATGTCATCTTATTGAATAGGTTGGGTTGCTTCTCTTTTCTGATTAATTCCCATGCAGAAGCACAGGTGAACCTACCATCAGTAGTAGGGGCCCAGATGATTTCATCTTGCAAGTTGCTATTGAAAAAGATTGGGATCTGAGTTATCAAATGGATCATGTGAGGTGGGGCACTCTCATTGAGTCTTTGAAGATTCCACCGGCCATTGTTCCAAAAATAGGAGACTGAAATATTCCCAGGTCTGCCTCTTTCATTTCTCCCACCAAAAACTGTAGTTTCCATAATGGAGTCTCCATTGGATGTTCTTTTCAACTTCTTTCTTGTTGATCGTCAATCTTTTTCCATGCTTGTGATTTGTCCTTTTACCCCATTTTTTTTGGAGATTGGGGATTTGGGATCTTTGACAATACTTGGCTTTAAGGAAGTTACTCCACAAGGATTGAGTAGATCTGAAGTGCCACCATTGTTTGTATTCCATTGATTTGCAAATGTCTTCTATGGTTTTGAATCTCATACCCCCTTCATTCATAGGGAAGCATAATTTGTTCCATGAAGCCCAGTGGTATTTCCTTTTGTTATCTTCCATGCCCCAGAAGAAGTTTGCTGCTAGCTTCTCAATTTGTTTCATGACTGTCTTAGGAGGAGAGACTGCGGACAGTAGATAGATTGGCATAGATTGGAGAACATGCTTTATCAGAGTAGCTCTTCTTCTATGTGATAGCATTTTGCCATGCCAGCCCCTGATTCTTCCCGCAATTTTGGAGATTAGATTGTTGAAGTGGATGATATTCAACCTGCCAGTGTACAGTGGACATCGCAGGTAAGTAAGAGGGGATAGCTTTCTAGAGAAACCTATGACTGCTTGGATTCTTCTAATTGTTGACTGAAATGCACAGAGGGAGGTCATGAAATGACTTTTTTGCCTATTGATCTGTTGGCCAGAAGTATCCTCATACTTGCTCAATATCCACATGATTTTCTGAAAAGATGACCTTTTCCCATAGGAGAATATGATGATATCAGCTGCAAAGCTGAGGTGATTGACTTGAGGGTCCCTTCTTTCCATATAAAAACCATTGAAAAACTGATTATGATTGAGGGTGTTAAGCATTCTAGACAGAAGCTCGGCCCCAATGATGAACAAGGAATGGGCAAGGGAATCTTCTTGCTTTAGTCCCCTTGTAGAATGGAAGAAACCATGCCTAGTTCCATTTACAATGACTGAATACCAATTGTTGGACATGGTTCTCCATATCATATCAATGACCATCTTACAAAAACCCATTCTCCTCAACATTATGCAAGTGAAACTCCAGGAGACCATATCATATGCTTTACCCATATCTAACTTTATGACTACATTGGATCCCTCATTTGGTTTCTTGATGCCATGGATAATTTCCTGAGCAAGCATGATATTCTCAGAAATATTCATTCCTTTTACAAAACCTGATTGGTTAGCAGAAATAATTCTTGAAAGTATAGGCCCAAGCCTAGCACCTATAACTTTGGAGATGATCTTGTTTATAAAATTACTGAGGCTGCTAGGTCTGAATTCAGATAAATAGTTTGGAAATTCCACCTTGGGGAGGAGAACCAAGCATGCACTGGTCATGTATTTTGGCATATTGCAGCCGCAAAGAAAGCTAGTACAACATTTAGCAGATCATCCTTAATGATGTCCCAGCAAGATTGGTAAAATTTGCCATTGAAACCATCTGGCCCTGCAGCACTTGTGGGATTCATAGAGAACACAACTTATTCGAGCTCCTGTAAGGTTGGGTCTGCTGACAGGATAACATTATCCTCAGGAGTGACCATGGAGGGGATGCATGACCACAGATCTTCCCTGATGACTCCTCCTGGATTTGTGAAAAGGTCTTGGTATAAATCACATGTTGCTTTACCAATAGCCTCATCACCTTGGATCCACTGTCCATTCTCGTCTTTGATTTTGTGGATATAGATTTTCCTTCTTCTGCCTCTAATAAGACTGTGGAAGTATTTAGTGTTGGCTTGACCTGTCCACCCAATTTTCAAACTCATAGAACAATGCAAAAAAATAGCCACCCTCAAGCAAGTGCAAGCTCAAATGATTACATCTGGGCTTATTCTCCACACTTACCCTCTTAGTTGCATACTCATTTTTCCTCCACCCTAGCCGCCACCAACTCCTATGCGCTAACCATTTTCAACCAAGTAAACAATCCAACAGTTTCCGTAGTCTACAACTTGCATTCTTACCCAGTTAAATACAACTACAACATTATACAGTATATATATATATATATATATATATATATATATATATATATATATATATATATAAATAGACAGATATATACAATTTTCATATAAATTTTATACAATATATCTTGTGTATGTACTTTATATATGATTGGTATATATTTTGTATGTGGTGTGTTCTTCTTCATCTCTAAAATTCCAATCAAAACTTTTACTCTTAATACAATTTGATACATATCAATAACTTTATTAAAAAAAATAGTATTTATAGCTTAAATACAAATTTCATACAACGACTCATACAGTATACAACTAATTTTTAACTTTCATACAATATTCAAATAAAAAAATACAACTAAAAATAAAATACAATCAAATATAGTTTTCATACAAATTTCATGCAATTATTATACAACTTTAATGCAATTTTGTATGTATATTGTATGCGAGCGTTCTTCTTTTTCTTCTTCTGAAAATCCAGCCCAAATCAAATCTAATCCTCACCACATACCCTTAAAATTGAGATACAAACTCCATAGAATATTCCAATCATTTGCAATAACATCTAATCCAAACAACTAATATTTTTTGAAATCCGAATTCAATTTCAAAGCTTCGAAACCTGGCTGTCAATGGTGGAGAGTCAAACACATTCAAAATTTATTGATTGACAATTTTAATTCGAACAATCGAGTCAAATAATTAATATCTATCTGGTGCTAGCCCTACATCGGAACGCCAACAAGAAAAGGGAAAACCCGGAAAAGCTCCAAACTCTGGCCATGGCAAAATTCAGATTGACAAAAAATTTATCCCTTTCTTTTCTATTGTTAGAGAAAATTATGAGCTTTAGAAGAAAATCTTATAAAATCAGTGTAGAAAGAGGGTTGATTTCAAAGAGAGAAAGAAAAAAATTCTTTAGAAAGAAATGTGATTGGGATTTGTCGACGGAAGAAAGGAATTGTGAGGGTTTAAAGGGATTTATCAAATTAAAAGGCTATAATATTATTAAAACCTCTCTACCGAGGTAAAGTATCTCTTTTAACACAGCGGAAAAAAAAAAGTTTCCCTTAATGCCAAAGTTTCCCTTAGAGAAGAATGCTCTGGTCTCCTTAACAGATTGACATTCTTGTCATTTTTGGAAGGAGGCGGCGGGAGAAAATCTCTAGTGCAGGGGAAATAAAAAAGGGACTGAAGTGAAATTGAAGAGTCAAATGGCTACTTCTTCATAAGTTTCTTCTTCCAAGTAGGTCTACGTTCTTCTCTTCCCCTTTATTTATGTTCTTGTTTTATTACTTGACGATTTCTTTTTTAATATGATGGCTAAATCAAGCAGTGTATTTTTGTAGTATTTTATAGTTGAAGCCACTTGATAAAAATGGCGAATTTGAACTCCCTTTGACTTGGCAATGCTTGAAACTGAAAGTTAGTATGCACCTTTGGCTTATCAGAAATTTGAGTTTTTTTTTTTTGGTTGGGGGCCTGTTCTGAAAGTAAAAAGGTGATATGACTACTTAAAGATTGCATAAATAGATCAAGTTAAGTTGATAGTAATTGATAATTGATAAGAAAATACACTGCTACTACTACCACGGTCACTAGCATTTGTCTCCACAATAAATCCCGAATAAAATTGAAAGGTTACGATCAAGAGCATAAATTAAACCTCTTACTGAACTACTGAAGAAGGAAATTAGTATATAATTGAAGAAAAATAATATAAATTTACATGATTAAGGCTTAAAAGATGGTGTTCGTCGAGCTTTTTAAGGTGGATGGTGCATTGGTTAGGCTAAATGGCATCACCAATATATTTGTTTTGAAGATAATCTCAGCTGTCATTCTAAATTGAAGGTAACCTGCTCTCTGATCCACCTTAGAAAATATCTTGGTTCATCCAATTCATCAAATAAGTCCTCAGTGAGTGGTTTGTAAAACTTATGCTCCCCAGGTGCATCTATTTGAGTCCTTGTGGTAGGTAGTATACAAATGACAAGAACAAAATTTCTTTCCAGCCAAAACAAACATGAGATATTTTTCTTTTTTTACTTATCAAAAAAAATATAAGCCTCCTTATTCACTGGTATATTCACTGACCGAGGGTATTCTGTCATCTAACCCTGTGAGGTGGCAACTATTTAGGCTGCTTAGTGAGTTCTTTTACATCCACTTCAGTATATTCTGGCGGTCTTTTAGCCATTTCAACAGTGTTTCGAGGATTCAAATGACTCTAATACCAATTGGTACCAATGAGTCAATGACCATCAACTCAGGAACTATGAGTTTGAATGCTAAAATTTGGGTCCAGGAAACTATATCTGGTATAAGTTATCACCGACACAAGACTACTGCTAATACTCAATACTCTATATACCGCATGAGTAATAAGCTATTCTCCTAATTAATTTCAGTAAAATTACCGCGACTTGCATATAACTGCCTCCCATGTGGCAACATGAGCTCATGCACAAGCTGTTAACAACCTCTCTGAGTTGCTTCTATTCTGTTAAGCTAGCACTAAGCTTGTCGCGCATTTGCTGGGCTCCGTAGGAGACTAAATGCTTGAACACCTCAGTTGACTATGGCATTAGGTTCGCTTTTTCATATGAACTATGACTTCTAGACTGCAAAACGCTGGTGATGTTTGATATATATTGTTCTAAATGACTGGAAGTACTAACTTTCTCACTTTACGGAAAGATGCTGTGGTTCACATTTTCACTTTCTTTTTATTGGTAATTTTTGTTTCTTTCATAAGGATTTTTGAATTTTAGTTTATTTATCAAATTTCGATTATGTTTATGTTTTTCCTTATTTTATTTATAATGGAAGATTGTGACTATCCTAATTGAAAGTGATGTGATCTGAGCATGGTGGTGAGATTATTTGAGCAAATTTTTATATCAATCTATAACTAAATTTTTTTAAAAAAAAAAAATCTTGACCATAATGACCAGATGTATGATTTTTGTTCACATAGGTGCTAAATTTGTATATGTTTAAATGATGAGCTAATTATGTCTTTATTTAATTTTCAGATGTGGGCATGATCTGAATTGTTGTTGGTTACGGTTAATCCTGTGCAAGTGCACCATCAAAAGAAAAAATCTCATTCTGCACTAATGACTTGTGAAAGGTTATGTTTGTCTTGCAAAGCTTCGAGCACATCACATGAAAACATTGGGCCCAAAATCTGCCCACCCAATTTTCAAACTCATAGAACAATGCAAAAACATAGCCACCCTCAAGCAAGTGCATGCTCAAATGATCACAACTGGACTTATTCTCCACACTTACCCTCTCAGTCGCATACTCATTTCGTCCTCCACCCTAGCCGCCACCAACTCCTATGCGCTAACCATTTTCAACCAAGCAAGCAATCCAACAATTTTCCTGTTCAACACCCTAATCTCATCATCCCTTGCTAGGAAAGATGATCAAGTTCACTTTTCTTTAGCTCTTTACACTCGTATTCTCACTCAAACCACTCTCAAGCCCAATAATTACACTTACCCATCTCTTTTTAAGGCTTGTAGTTCTCAACCATGGCTTCAAAATGGCCGTGCCTTGCACACCCATGTCTTGAAATTCCTTGAACCACCTTATGATCATTTTGTTCAAGCCTCGTTGCTTAATTTCTACTCCAGGAGTGGCGAATTGGGGGTTTCAAGATTCCTCTTTGATCAAATCACAAGACCGGATTTAGCTTCTTGGAACTCCATACTTACAGCTTATGCCCATAATACTTCTGTTCAATATGAAGCCAGTCTTGATAATGCTTATGATAACACTAATTTGTCATTGGAAGTTTTGCTTTTGTTTAATCAAATGCAGAAATCTTTGGCTAGTCTTAATGAGGTTAGTTTGGTGGCGTTGATTAGTGCTTGAAAGGTTATTTGACATTGAAGAGGAAGAGAAGGAAGATGCACTTTCATACCATAGTGAAAGGTTAGCCATTGCTTATGCTCTTATTGCATCTGTTTCTGGTTCCCCTATTAGAATTATAAAGAACCTAAGGGTTTGCAGTGACTGCCATGCAGCTACTAAGCTTATATCAAGGATTTATGAGAGGGAAATTATAGTAAGAGATAGATCTAGGTTTCATCACTTCAGAAATGGGACTTGTTCTTGTTTGGATTATTGGTAGAATTTCTTGTACTTTGTGTTATTTGGAACAGCATATAGTTTACTTCACGGGCGGATCTAGAATTTTTAGTACATGCGTGCACTACTTAAAAAAGAAAGAAAAATTATATTAAGTGGGAATTGATCCTTATTCCTCTTAGTAAATAACTCAACCTTCAATCAAGCGCATCATTCAGTCTTCTTGAAGCATATGTGCGAACAATTAATATAATATCAATTTTAAAAAATATGTACATAAACATCTAATTTTAAGGAAAGACCATGGGTTCACGTGCCCCATCATCTCCCTATAAATTCGCCCCTAGTTTACATAGTCGGACATCCTGCCTCCTCTATTTCAAAAAAAAAGAAAAGAAAAAGCATAAACTAGTGTTCCATTTCCTTGTGATCTCGCTTTCGGTGAAAGATGTATGTATAAAAGTAGAGCTACTGTATTATTTTTATCTCTATCTTTTAGTATTGTTGAATTATAGCAAGTTGATTAATCATGGAGAAATGATAAGTCTTACATGCACTCCAAAAAATGCTTTATGGACTCCAATTACATATTCACTGCGTCTAAAAGTACTTTACACTCTGTTTGGATCATTGTTCCCTATCGTTTTATAATGTATTGTATTGTATCGTATCGTATTGTACCGTATCGTTTTATGAATACAATGTTTGAATAGATTGTGTCGTTTGTGATTATTAATAATATTTTGTTGTTTGGTTTGACTGTATCGTACTGTACTATAACTGATAAGTTTACTAAAATACCTTCAATTGTTTAAATATTAAATTTATCAAAAATTATGCATAAAAATAATTTTAAAAAACAAAACAGAAGAAGGCAAAATATAAGAAAGCAAAACAAAGGAGCGAGACAGAAGAAGGCAAAACAAAGGAGCACAACTAATTAGATTTGAGTTACAAGCAAATTAGGAGAAAAAATAAAAGCAGAAGGCAGAAAAACACCTTTAACATTGGTCTGGAAAAAAAAAAGTAGGTTATAAGTTGGAGATTTGGAGTTAAAATAAAAAAAAATAAAAAAGATAAAGGGTAAAATAGAATTGTGAAGTAATAAGTTAGGGCATAATTGGAAAGAAAAATAGGAAACAATCCCACCACACCAAATCGGTTGTTTTAAAAAAGAGGACATTTCATTGTTCCGGAACAATGGATTTAACAATACAATACAACCAATTTTAAAGAAATAATCAAAACAAACATTGTTTTGAGATAACAATACAGTACGATACAACAAGTAACAACCATCCAAACAAGCTGTTAATTTACTCTCCGAAACACTATGAATGTGAAAAAAAATCCAATTAAGAAGAATTACAAACCTGAAATCCACATCCGCTTTATATTTGAGTCCTTATAAAGAGTAATCATATAAATTTATTACTGAAAAATCATATAAACTTTATGTAATGATATTTTGCTTACATGATAACTCTCATTTATCCTACATTGTACAATTATTGTTTCTCAAATTTTTTTTTTTGGGGGGGGGGCGCTAAAACTGTGTTTTTTGCATGTTTCAATGATATGATAGGTTTTTCAGATACATTTCAGTGCATTAATTTTTTACTTGCTTCCTAAATTGTTTTTTTATCTACTTTTCTCTTTTTTTGCTATTATTTTCTTAGGTCCAATGTTATCATATTTATTCATGTATACAACCTCCTCTCGAAGTGTACGTATCTTTGCATTTATCAGTTCTTCAACATCTTGAATTTCCTGACAGCCTTCTTTGCTTAAAACCAAATTAAGAAAAGAGAGTAAAAGAAAAACAGAAGTCTTAACGTTGATTAAACCATTTTGCTTTGCTGGAAAAGAAAATAAAAAGAAGGGTAAGAACAAAAACTAGCTTTCAACTAAACTTTATAAAGAATTGCTTCCTGTCCATGTAAAATAGAGAGACTACTTCGGCAAAAAAAGGAGAAATAACTGGTAGCAAATGTTTGCTTCACTGAAAAGAGAATTTCAAAATTGAAAGGTTAAGCTTTTCACCAAAATTTTCTACTATATTTTCAAGAATTGAACTGCAACAAAAATAGATATGACGTATATGTTAAACTCCCAGTGTAAGCACAGAAAACTTGAACCTTTACTAGAACAGAAAGTGCCTGGATTTCAATCTGATACCCTTTTTCTCTGTTCCAGGTACAAGCCAAGTTCAATTAACATAGAATAATTCGGTATTAGTATTGCCTCCCCATAGACTAATTAAGACAGATAAAGACATGTAACACTTGGCAAAAGCTGGTAATGATCTTGACCTACGAGGTCCGATGATTTAAATGACATCCAATATCTGAGATTATAGGACAAGGTGCTGAAAACAGCCTGTGAACTCAAATCCTCACATTTACATTTGTTTCCTAGTTCACGGATAGTAGTAGGAGAAGCTAGGGAAGAGATTATATATAGCTCAAAGAGATAAGGGATTTTCAGCACCAAAGTACTGGATTAACATTGTCCCTTGGAAGATAAATACAGATATCTTCAGAAAGAGAAGGTTCATCAACTGCCTTCATTCATAAAGTGCTCACAAACAGAAAGACTAAAACATAGAAGCATTACACAGCTACTTATAATGATTGCAACTTAGCGGAGACATGCTAGATTCCCACTGCATGCAACGGCACAATCATCATACTCTGGTTGCAGGAATTGACGCTCAGCTGCAGCAAATTCCAGGAAAAAAATAACGATTTCAAATATCCACTCTTGGGCCATGCTTGCCTGATTTTTTGATGAAGAATACATATAAATTATTTTTACAATATTAGTTATAAATATATGATCACTAATTAATGTATATTCACAAAAAAATATACATCTTAAATACCAAATATACCAACCAAGGGCTCTAGAGACAATTCATTCTTCCTAGTCCAAGCTAGCTAAGGAAATAACACCATCTTCTCTCTTGAATGACTTTATTGTTGATGGATCCCCTCGCGGGACTGAGCTACCTTGTGAGCTAACCCCAACTCTTATTGCCGCGGAAACCATACCATCCTATTACCTTACTATAAGAAATTATATCAGCAGGCTTGTCCCGATTTCATTGGCTAAAGACCGCTTTCAAGTAGGTTCAACTCTTGACTCTTGTTCCCCAGGACCAGGGTCTGTAATGCTTACTGCCCTTACCAAGACCTACTCTCTAATCAGTCGAGCTTCAAGACCTTCTCCTTAACCGGTAATGCCAAGTCGTTAATCTTCGTCTGGAGCTATAGCTCTCCCTGCAATTCCAACTCGGCCAGAGAATCAAAGGACAGATGGTATGTCTTTCTATCCATCCTGATTGTTTGATTGAAACAGAAATAAGACTTTATGCGAGAAAGGTTCAAAATAAATTAGAAAGAATTACAAAAAAATACACATGACTTCACACCATAACAAAAAATGGACCATGTTTTTAAGTTTACCCGACATAGCACATATTGTACATATTTTGAAAGCACTAACAAACTCAAAATTTGTGTTCTTACAACCAAATACTTCTAAAAGCTATGGAGTTAAATTTGTTTTCTCACAACCATTGCTTTCACTCTCTCTTCTTCTCACATCTTCTACATATGCTTCAAGGGGTCGTCCGCCATTACTGCTTCTCCCCCTGTGTCACCTGGTTGCAGTGTAAGAAAATTGAAGAGTAAAAGTCCACCATTGAAGGCCATTCAAAGCTTTGTTTTCGAAAATAGTATTTTTTTAGTTTGTTAGTTGTTTGGATTGGGTATTGTTCCAATTGATTGAAAATAACAAAAGGAGTTCAAATTTTAAATTTGAAGTGATTTGGAGTAGATTTGAGCAAGATTTGAGTCAAAATTTCAGAAAAGACGCAAGGAAGAAGACGAAGTCAGTTTTTTGTATAATTATGTATAATCTTGTATAATAGTGTATACGAGTGTATAAACACCTCTTATACACTTTTATACACCTTTATACAAGCGTCTGTAGACGAACTTCTTCACAATTTTCTGTTGCAATTCTTGTTCAAAACCAGTCCAAATCTCCATTAAATGACTTCAAATTTTATATACAACCTCCTTAAACTATTTCTAACAAGTCTAGATAACACCCACTCTAAATTTCTCACAAATCAAATTCGGAATTTAAACCCACATATTTAAGTTTGTTAAAAATCTAATTTGCACCACCCAAATAGATTTGGTTTGTTGAACTAATATTTGAGTCACAGTTACTGATTTGAAAATTACTTAAAAGCTTGAGTAATCGTATTTAAAAATTAAATTGTAATTTCGAGAACCTATTCGAGTTGAATGTTGGGCTAATTGGTTGTAAATTGAAATATGGGCTATAATATTGAAAAGTAGGGAGCTCAGTTGTTCTCATGTGAAATTTTTCCAATAAATTATCCGTCCTTCTATCATTTATAATATCATTTACACTTATATAAATTTATAGGCATATATTTATTATATTAGCTTTTAAGTTTTGATAATTGCTTAATTTAAAATTTAATCTAACTGTGTAATTACATTTGTGCAACCAAACAGTAAACTTGTAATTACATTGTAATTACACTATGACAAACAAACAGGTCATCGTAATTACACAATTATATAATTACTACCCTAGTAATTACACCAATTTCAATTACAGGGTGGCTTTCCAAACAAACTCTTACTTTTGTTGAACTTATAATGTATCGTTTATATTTTTATTGTGTTATAATGCTATATTATTAATTCATAAATTAAAAAATTAAAGATCCGAGGGGCTTACACCATGTGTCTCGAGGCTTTCGTCTCACCCAAAATTAAGTAAGACGCTCCGTCTCTGTAACGACCCGACCGGTCGTTTTAAGATTTTGCACTTTGATCGCCAGTTCTCGAGCACGACTTGCCCCGTGTAATGTATTATGACTGATGTAGATCGTTGGTTTTGGTTTTCAGGAAAATCGGAATGAAATCTAAAGAACAATTCTCAGTTGTAGCTTTGAATTTGAAAGGTTTGACCAAGAGTTGACTTATTCGTATATGA